GGGTTGAAAGTTTTCCCGAATTTTTATGGATAATTGTAATGAAACAACAACCTGACTTTAACGTATTTTCTGATAAATCTGCCCGAAATTTTCTTGATTTTTCCTAGCGTTTGCCCGAATTTCCAAGGTTTTCCAAAATTTTGAGCGGGCAATTGCCCCCTGCCCAACAAGATTTTGATCGAACTCTATAAGGCATTCAACGTTTGTTAGGTTCGTAACTTACCTACGCTACTGAGGTCCGGTCTCCATGCACATCGTCAAGCAAAGATCCAGGGTCATCAGCACATGCACACCATCAAGCAAAGATCCAGGGTTATCAGCACATGCACACCATCAAGCAAAGATCCAGGGTCAGTCATCAGCACATGCACACCATCAAGCAAAGATCCAGGGTTATCAGCACATGCACACCGTCAAGCAAAGATCCAGGGTCAGTCATCAGCACATGCACACCATCAAGCAAAGATCCAGGGTTATCAGCACATGCACACCATCAAGCAAAGATCCAGGGTCAGTCATCAGCACATGCACACCATCAAGCAAAGATCCAGGGTTATCAGCACATGCACACCGTCAAGCAAAGATCCAGGGTCATCAGCACATGCACACCATCAAGCAAAGATCCAGGGTTATCAGCACATGCACACCATCAAGCAAAGATCCAGGGTCATCAGCACATGCACACCATCAAGCAAAGATCCAGGGTCATCAGCACATGCACACCATCAAGCAAAGATCTAGGGTCATCAGCACATGCACACCGTCAAGCAAAGATCTAGGGTCATCAGCACATGCACATCAGCACATGCATACGGATACCATCAAGCAAAGATCCAGGGTCATCAGCACATGCATACCATCAAACAAAGATCCAGGGTCATCAGCACATGCATACCATCAAGCAAAGATCCAGGGTCATCAGCACATGCATACCATCAAGCAAAGATCCAGGGTCATCAGCTGCACATGCACACCGTCAAGCAAAGATCCAGGGTCATCAGCACATGCATACCATCAAACAAAGATCCAGGGTCATCAGCACATGCATACCATCAAACAAAGATCCAGGGTCATCAGCACATGCATACCATCAAGCAAAGATCCAGGGTCATCAGCTGCACATGCACACCGTCAAGCAAAGATCCAGGGTCATCAGCACATGCACACCATCAAGCAAAGATCTAGGGTCATCAGCACATGCACACCGTCAAGCAAAGATCTAGGGTCATCAGCACATGCACACCGTCAAGCAAAGATCTAGGGTCATCAGCACATGCACACCATCAAGCAAAGATCCAGGGTCATCAGCACATGCACATCAGCACATGCATACCATCAAGCAAAGATCCAGCGTCATCAGCACATGCATGGTGGAAGGTGTGCCCAGTGCCCCAATATGGCCCTATATGTAACATAAGGCCCCTCCCCCCATATTAAGTTTTTCAACTCTGCCCCTAAATATAACATAAGGTTTTCACCCCTACCGGTATCAGTAAGGTTGACGCATGCGCAGACGTTTTCCCGCGGTGTTGTCGACTCGTGAAGTGGAGGATATGATGAAAGTATTAAAAGGTAATGTTCGTCAATTTCGTCATTTATATATTTCATTATTTGTATAGAAGTCTGTAGTTTATGTCCTGATTTAACTATGGACTGTCTATAGTGCTGTTTCAGAATATTGTGTTGATTAATAACCGACAAAACTCGATAGTAAAACTGTGGCAGGCAAATTTGTTATAAATGCTTTCATTTTTTGCACTGATTGTGAAAAGAAATATGTATTTTGATACGACTCAATTATGAAAGCTATAAACAAACAATGTATAATTTAATACACATGTACTCTGAATATTTGCTCTGAATATTTCATTTGTGTATTGAAATACTGATAAACCATATTATTTAGCTAATCGTCTTAGGCAGCGTTTACACTGTACATTCGTAGCGTTCTCGTATTGTTCTTAATCCTCAAGGGAACGCAAGACAATAGTCTAGTTCTCTCGAACAATACGAGAACGCTACGAAAACGGTACAGTGTAAACGCTGCCTTAATTATCATGTTTATGCTAATTAGCTTAATTAATTAATTAACACAAAGCCCTATCATTTGATACTTTCTAGCAAACTGAGTTTAGCACTGTATTTATCCACAAGTGAGACAGCGTTGTCTCAATATAAACGAAGGACGCATGATGTTACGAGTATATCTTTTATTAAGAAGCCATATAATATTCAAACTTTAGGGACTGCTCATTATTTATTGTACAGGGGGGGGGGACTGAGGAGAAACTCTACAGTTATAATATTTTTTCGTTGCCCCCCTCTTAAGACAAGTAATATTTTCAAAGCCCCCTCCAACAGGCAAAACAAGAGCATAAATTTTGGTTCCCGACTCTAGCTCTTTATTTAGAGAAACAAAAATAGATAATGGGGACCAATTAACCAATAGACAATTCTCATAATAGACTAATTTTTTATCTTAAAGATGCGGTACAGTCCGTATGTAAACAAAGGCTTTGTTTACATTTCGGTATCAAAATATTGAATTTTATTCCACAACTATTTATATTTTCATGGTTCTAGAGTATAATAAATTATGAAGACACAACAATCAAGCTTTGCAAGAACATAAAATGAAATAAAAACCTAAATAAACTGTTTGTAAATAAAAAGAGGGCTCCTTTGTGCACATGTGCAGATCGGACTGTACCACATCTTCAGGGGCGCACATTAGGGGGGGTTTGGGGGGGGGGTGCGAAACCCCCCCTAGAATCCGAATATCACTAAAAGTCGGTCCCATTCATCCTTGATACTGTGCGAAAACTCTGTCCCAAAATTCGGGTATAAGAATTAATATTACTTCTGTTCGACTCCGTGAATTGGGACCGACAACACAAGAGCTGGTTGATAAGATGTTATAAACAAGCCTATGTGTATGTGTTAATGTGTAAGAAACTATTTCTTGATTTTTAAACGTCAAATCGTAGCGCACCCGCTAAGGTTTAGATGGTTAATTCAGATTATTTATTATCTTGATTTTATTGTTTTGCTAGTTGTTATTATACACTTCTATTTTTCATTATTTTCAGTATTTTATATGGACGAACGAAAGTAACAATTATATTCGAAGAAATAAACTCATCTCCCTCTCTCTGCTACTATCCGATTTCGCACCTGTGGCCTGCGAACGGATATTCTCATGACGGCATGTAGTAAAACACTGACTACCGGAACACCGGAACACCACCGGAACACCGCCGGAACACCACCGGAACACCACCTAACCCTAACCCCAACCCTAACCCCCAACCCTAACCCTAATTTTGCAGAATTGTTTTTACGCTTCTGTTTAATTTATTTTTGAATATCAAAAAGTCGGTCCCCAAGTGGCCCACACCCCCCTAGAAATTCCTTAGATGTGCGCCCCTGCACATCTTTAACAAAAAAAAGTATATTCCCGGGAAGAGCATACTAAAATTAGTAAAATTGCAAAGTTTGGTTGCGAAATGTTGTAAAATGTGGAAAATATAGCCTTCCAAAGTGCAAATTTTGTATACTTTTGTATTGCAATTTTTGCACGCAATACAAAAGTATACAAAATTTGCAAAGTTTGTAAGGCTATATTTTCCATATTTTACAACATTTTGCAACCAAACTTTGCAATAATTTACTTATTTTAGTAGCTGTGGTGATTTATTTGCATCTCTTTGTCTAGTTCTAAAATTAGTCTATAATTGGAATCTCTGTATTTTTTCAAAGCCCCCCCCTTTCAGGTTTTAAAAAATTTAAAGCCCCCCCCCAGTTTCTCCTCAATCCCCCCTGTACAATAAATAATGAGCGGCTAATAGCATCTTTTAAAATGCTGACCTTATCATCTTGAAGCCTTGTTCAATGTTCCCTTTTCTCCCCTTCCCTCCCCCTTTACAGTATATTAGGCTTGTGACAAATGATAAACTTTTAAATTGATCATAATATTAAATTTCTGAATAAATTTAAAAAAATTAATTAATTTAAATTATTTATTTGAATTTAAAAAAAATGTTTTTTCACTTTTATCATCTTGTGTGGACATGGATGCCATACTATATAGCATATAGCTCTTCTGCATTAAAGTGCAGGCAAGGTAATGACAAAAAACAACTAAAATATTTTTGGAACAATTTGTATTTCAGCTCCCAAACAGCATTTCAGCTACAAAACAGTATTTACACACTTTAGGTAATTTTATATCATTTTTATTGATTAGATAAATAGCTTTAGAATGCTATAATAAGGATGCTATAATAAGGACCTTGGTCAAAGTATTTAATGCAACCTGAACTTTGACTCTGATCATAATTTTACTTTGTCACGTTTGGTGATAACTAAAAACCAGGGCGTTTATATATAAGGGCGGTTATAAGCGCCCTGCTAAAAACTATGAATTATATTTAATTAAAACTGCACGCGCTAATTCAGATACCAGACGCGCAGATTCGAAGACTAGACGCGCAAAAATCCGGAAAATCTTGATCTCGGTTGCGCAATTTGCAAACATTCCAGTCTGGGTTATGAAGTAAATTCTAGGTTTTAAACATTTTTCCTGCAACAAGTAATGTCAACATGGCCCCTGATTGTGGTAGTGTACTTCAGTTGTATACACACTGCACCATATTTGACATCAGCTATGTATCATGTGTATCCTCAATATTCTTGCACAGCCAGCCTGGTCCCTAGCCAAGCCTCTTAATAGTACACCTAAGTTATCTATATTGTCGATATGGCAATATAAGTGTGCTGTACCGCATAATTGTTTATTACAGCTGTTCATGTTCTATGATAGTTTATTTGCTTACGAAATTTAAATTTTTTAAGAACGATCACATTCACATGCACCACCATACGAAACGCTCACCAACATTCGTTGCTTGCCAGAGCCTTTTTAAGAATTTGCCCGTGGGCAGAGAGCAATCTACAAAGAGAGACCACACTATTGTACGTAAATACGTAATAGTAAGGCAGTCTGAGGGATTTCCCCCCAGAAAATTTTTGTGTTTTTTCCACCCTTAGGACTGCATTTCGTACATTTTGTGAACATATTTTTAGATGCACAGCGTTACATTATACTGTTAATCTGTTATTCAGTTGTAGTGCATTTCAACATTTCGAAATTCGAATCATTCCATCCTGAACAACACGCGTCAGTAGACAATTCGTTTGTAGACAATTCAGTTTCTGCTAATACAGAATACAAATTTGACATTTCCATAAAGTGCGACACAAAAACATGAAACAATTTACAACACTACATTTACCTCGCAGAAATTATTCAATAGTCTCTTGATGAATGATCGCCGTGGAACAACAGCACAGGCCCTCAATGGTCGATATTCGCCTTGAAAAGCCAAAACCAAAAGACCGCCGAAATACAATTAGATCAAATTTCGGAATGGCTGATGTTTATTGGTTATTATTGTGCCTCGTCAGAAATGAACTTTCACCATACCAATGCCACATTGATCACACATATAAAATCAAAGTATAATATTTTTGTCTATCAAGCTTTTATACATTGATGGGCATGACATTTTTTAATGGTCAACACTATTGTGGAGCAGTCAAGAGATCTGATGAGGCCTGGCATCATTATGATGGGCTGTGGGAACGAAATTGTCCTGGCACTGGCCTTCAAAAAAGAGCACTATCAACCCGTGCTGCGGGCTGCTGGATATATCCTTCTAGCTGCGTCTACGTCCATTCCAAATTTGTATAATCTGGTAAAATCCCAGGAGCCCAGCTTGTGGCCTATAAAATGCGTTTTATATACGACGACGTTCATTATAGATCAAATTTATTATATAATATGTACACCATTTTTGCAATGCTCGGTAATTTGTGATTTATCGTGAATTTGCATAGCCTCTGTAGGCAAAGTCGTCAAAATTATATAAAACCCATTGAGGGCCATATTAAAGTTGGGTCCTTTGTGGTAAAACATTTCATTGTATATAGCTATATTACCATGTTCAAACAGTGCCTTTCATGCGCTTTTAAAATATGAAGGTGCAAAATTGCCAAAACTTTAAATTGGCATTTCCAGATTTTCGTTTTCTAATATTTTATAACAAAAATAAAAAGATTTGACAGATCCTGCTATGCTTTCATCTCAATTTGCTGAAAGTCTAAGAACTGTCAAATATTGCGGTGTCCCGCCCAAAGTTTGGGCACCGCATTATATTCTGCCTGTGACTTTAGGCCCGGTTTAGACGCCGTGCTTTTCATGAGCCGAACATAATTCATATTTTATTCGAGTAAAATAGGCGTAATTCCAATTTTGATTTAGACAGGCGTGCTTTTCATGAGCCGTACTTAATAATTTGCGCTGCTTCACTTCGAAACCTGGGGCGAGTGACAATTCATAATAAGAAAAAAGGGTTTATCACATACAATCTTGGCATTTCTGAGCGTCTACAGGTTTGTGGTTGTTAAAAATTTCAATTGCTTTTTGAAAAGCCTTATTACTACAAACATAGCATAATGCCTGGATATAATGTGTGGGAAAACGAGACCTATATAGGCTTAGGGCGAGTTTTTCCACGTTATTCACGAGTTCTCCCAAACTACTACAAGTGTTTCTATAACTGTATGGGTCATACATAATAAATGCTTTATATTTATTTCTTAATATAACTAAAAAAAGATTTGTAGTAGACTCGATATATTTACAAATTCTCATTGCGTAATAATGCCGACCTTTGCTCCATCAATTTACTGCAAGAAACCCTTTTTGCCTTTATCAGCAAATAAGTTGTATCCTTTGCTACAAATTGACGTATATAAAGAAAAGAAAGGGAAATTCTACCGCGATATTTGCCGATAAAGCGGTATTAAATCACTACAGAAAAAATAGAACAAATTTAATACAGAAATACAAAACAAGCCAGAAGCGGAAGTGGGAAGGTTTTTGTATTTTGACTGTATTAAACAATTCTTAATTGTTTTGTTTACGATTGTAAGTTTAGGCGGGAAATTTCCCACGTAGAAACACGCTTCTCGACCAATCAACGCACGCGTACTATAAATGTTCTATTTATCATAATTTATGCATTTGGTACGGCTCATGTAAAGCACGGCAGTATAAATCAACATGTGCTTCAGCCGTGTAGCACGCCTGAACCAGGCGAACTTATTAATTTAGCCGTGCTTAATATTAAGTGCAGTGCTTAATTGATTTAGACGCCGTGCTTCTCATGTGCTTAATTCATTGTATTAAGTTCGGCTCATGAAAAGCACGGCGTCTAAACCGGGCCTAAGACATGTGCTAGTATACAATTAATTAAGGTTCATGAGTTCAATGGTAAGAATATATTCATGAGGTGAAAGATTTCCATTTAACGAGGCAAATCCGAATTGAATGGAACAGTCCACTTTTTACCCACTGAAAATATTCTTTCCATTGCACTAATGAAATCATCTACTATTTGTTTTATATATGACACAGAAAACACAATAAATTATTGTTATTTATTGAATACGACTTTCAAAAACTGCAGTAGCACGCAATTCATTTGTGGGACTGTTTTCGGGAGACACTTTGCAAATATTTTCAGTGTTTCAAGGCGAACTTGGAAAGTGTAATATCATATTTAAGTATGCTTAAAATAATACATTTATTTGCCCTGTAACAGAATGTCACACAACTACACAGTACA